GACATCCTGCCAAAAAGTGAGCATCCTGTTTCACAGTTAAGTACATAGTGAGCAAAGAATTAAAGGTATTACGACGTATTAAAGATGAAGTGTGTTCTGGGAAACAAATTGGGGGAAGGAAGTGTCCACTTTCCACTCCTGATTCATCACTTCTGTAGCAAACTATAATAGGAAACACAAATGAGTCTTGTTCTACACTTTCCCACATATCAATAGATCAGTATTTCTGGATCCACTGTCAAGCTGTTTCCCAGCTACTGCAACCAATTTCTCTAGACCAGAGGTGTTGGACTCCAGGCCTTGATGGCTGGTGTCCTGCAGGTTTTAGATCTCACCCTGGGTCAACACACCTGAATCAAATGATTAGCTCATTACCAGGCCTCTGCAGAACTTCAAGACATGTTGAGGAGGTCATTTAGCAATTTAAAATCAGCTGTGTTGGATCAAGGACACATCTAAAACCTGCAGGACACCGGCCCTCGAGGCCTGGAGTTCGACACATGTGCTCTAGACCCTGCCTGATAGTTGCATTCCCCCAGGCCTCTCCATCTTTAAGAGGGACGGGCACCACTACAAATCTTAGGAGTACTGCTCATCAATCCAGTATTTTTATCATTACTTCCAACCACCAAATGATCCAAAACTGATAATGGTAATTTCTGAGCAGCAGATCAGATGATGGTTTCAGCATCTCAAGAGTTTAAGAATGTACACACCTTTAAGACCTTTAAGGCTTTTAATCAGTCATCACGTTTATATATTAGATAACTGATCATTTAGTTAGTGGTATGCGTGCCTCAGGCTGCTGGTATAACACACCTGGAGCAATTCCAAATGAAATACAAAACGAAAACTGAAAATGTATCCATGTGTGATGGACTTCTGCTAAACGTTTTGATAGGCTGCTCATGTTTTTGCCTTTAAAGGCAAAAGACTTGTGGCGACAAGTACTTTCCAATTTCACCTCTAGTGAAGTGCAATCATGCTTTTGAACTTTTCTCTCTGCCAGTGTGCTGCACCACACCCACTGCGGGCAGCAATGTGTGGACGGGAGGCCAAAACAGAGAAAACGATGGTGTGGACGTAGCCTTAGGTAAAGCACGATGTCATCTGCATAGAAAACAGAAGTGCATTAAGGATCTTTATCAGTAACTGAGGCGGTTAAAGTGTGAAGATACAAGTTTTTTTTTCCCTTTAAGCACTGAAAGCAATACCACTAATGTGAGAGCAAACTGATGTTCCAGTCTTGATCTGCTGACTCTGTTTAAAAACATTTTAAGTCCGTGTGTGTCAGACTGAGCAGATTTGTGACTGGTTCAGCTAACATGCTGGTGTTTTCACAGTTAGCGAGGGAAAAATACGCTGACCTGACTGAAGTACACGAGGGAAAACAGCTTTAAACTCACACATAGGTACATAAATTGTACTGCAAAACTCATTTTTGTATTTTTGGCAAATGTCGGCATTAAATTGATGCAAAACAATGACGCAACTTATGTCAGGTAAAGCTCAACTTACAAGCAGCGTTTATTCTTTTGCCATTAGAGTTAAGTGGAAATCTGATTACCAGTGAGTCTCAGAGACACAGATGGCCTTGAGAAGTTAAAGCAATACTAAATATAAAAGTAGACTTTCAATCATACCTGTGTTTAGATCTGAGCGAGTTGTGAGTATCGCTGTTGATGCAAATTGCAGCAGTTGGGCACTACGGGGTTTTAAAGTACCTTAATTGTCTACTTGAGTGCGTCATTGGCCACGGGGCCAATCTGTGGCCAAGAACTCACCTCCTGTTTTCAGAACACACCTGAGGCTGTTGCCACAAACATTACTGTGCCTCTGCACCCTGCTGCAGAGGTTCAGTCTGCAGACCTCTAACATCAGAATATAATTCATACTATGACACACTTCAGATGCATTCAGGGACAAGAAGGAGCAGCAAGTACAGCTGGTTTGGAAAAACAGAAGATCTAATCTAACATTAGGAGAAAAGGTGAAGGAAAAAAAGGGCAAAGCCATTGATTAAACAAGAGCAAACCTGTCCAGCAAAGGCAAACAATATGCAACAAATGTCAATATTTTCAAAATGCGCTCTGGTGAGGAGCATCTATACAAACGTGCATCTGCACTGCTTAAAAGTCAAAACCTTCTCACATCTCTACGGTGAAAAGCAGCAGTGTGGTGCTAATCGATGAGCTCTATTTTGGCTTCTTCTGTGATGAAGAGTAACAAAAACGATTCTACATCCGCTCTGTTCCTGTAACATTGATGATGCATTGCTGCTGAATTTCTTGAGCCGTGACGGCACACCGAGTCTCCATCTTCCCCGTTTACACTTCACAAAGTTACATTTTGTTGCCACTCTGACACTCGATCCACTCTTGTATAATCTCCACCACGCGGGGGGGAAAAAGAAAACAAAACAAAAACATGAAAACAGTCAGGTGAAGGGCAATGCGGCAGAGAAGGAAAACTTTAAATGAAGAACACTTGGTCTTTACAGGCTGTGGCACGAGCGGGCATTTCCGTGGCGGCAGAGAACGCGGCTACGATGGAGGCGAAGACGACGTTTGGGTTCTGGGCAGCGTCGACGGCCGTGTGCAGACCCCTGGCGCTGTAGTACTGCACCAGAGGGGACGTCTGCCGGTGGTAGGCTTCCAGGCGCGAGCGCAGGGTGTTCTCGTTGTCATCGCTGCGGCGGATCAGTGGCTCACCCGTCACCTGAGTGCAGAGTAAAAAAAGAAAACACATAAGACGAATCAGAAACTCTGTGTTCTTCTGAGTTCGCAGATCTTTATCCCTTCTGTCTTCTTTCTTGCATACACAACGGCTTCTTCTTTGTTTCTATTCTGTAAGCGAGCAAAACAGGAGCTTTTGGAAATTTTTGCTTAATTTAAAAAAAAAATGCATACAAAGTGTAAAGCATGTTAAAAGTAGAAGTGCCCGACAATATGATCGGTTGTGCAAGAACTGATTAAAAAATGTAAATATCACTAACTAATCCAAAATGCATACAATTTTACTTTATGAGACATATTATTGTTTCAGTCTCTATTTTATTGTACAGTCTTTACCTTCCAACATAAAGTGAGTTGATGCAAATGTTGTGATTTGGTGCTATACAAATAAAATGTAATTGTACTGTAATTAAAAAAAGTAATATCTGATTTAATATAAAACATCCTGTATTTACCTGTAAATTGTACAAATGAACTGTTGCATCGGAAACTGAGCAGATAGCGTTCGACAGTTTTCAAAGCGAAAGTTTTCTCAATCTGTGCTTGCTACAATATTTCATCAGGGGAGAAAACCCCCCCCCCCACCCGGTGAACACTTGATTTGTTGTTTCCGTTTCAATACTAAATAGTGTTTCACCAAACATCTTTCAATTAACCATAAAAGGCACAGCACCAATGAGTTCTCAATCCAAATTGTTTGTTTTGTGTCAATATAGAGTTAAATGCAATGCATGCGCACGCATGCACAAATAGTCACTATTTAATGGTCACTTATTGACCATTAAACATTGCTTTTGTGCACTGGGATGTCCACATAGCAACATGATCATTCACAGTCAGGTTTCTACCATGTTGCCATAACTACAAAAGCTGTTGTTCCTCAAACTAATTTTTTTAAAAAGAAGAAGAAAAACAGCAGAAACAGGAATCAAAGCAACGACTTAGGATCTGATGTTTTTCTGCAGAATCTCTCCTTTAAGCTATCGTATTAATCTCCCCCTGTGCTGGCTGCGAGTCCCTGTGCTCTGGCACTGATGTATGACAACAAACACTTGCAGAGACAGACCTGCTTGCAGACTCAGACTTGTGCCTGCTGTCAGCACCTGATTACAAAAGCTGGGAGGTGAACGACAAACCGAAACAACTCCAAGGTGCAGCAGCAGTCATGTCCCACTTTTGAAACACTCGTGTTACACAGTACTTGTGGGTCCAGTCACACCTGACAGTCATTACATGTAATGTTTCATGATTACCACATCACAACAGTGCAAGGTGCAAAATGTGTGCTCAAACCAGCTTGGTGCTAGTTTCTGCTACATTAGGTTCAACAGCACCTTAAACATCTGCACACACAGACTGAATTGTTGCAATTTTCACTAAAGCATAAAACTGTACAGTCGTTGGAACGTCAAGTATAAAACCCAAAGGAGAAACTGAATAATTAAAATTAAGTCTCTCTGCTGCACATTCCTTAATCCGCAGAAATCTACTCATGGAAAAAACAGGAGACAAACTCAGGAAAATGTCAAAGCTCTCTACAGTTGTTTCTCTGCATCTTCAACAGCAGAAACAAACATGAGATTATAACTTCCAGTCATATTGCTTCCCCTTTTCATGCATGTGTGCAGACGGAGCACGTTTAGACTGCCAAAAAAGAAAAAAAAACTTCAACTTGAGTTTATTTGAAGAGCAGACACTCCTAACGCGACTCATGTCACTTTATTAGTAACAGAATGTGTGAAAATGAACATCGAATACTACATTTCAAAGAGGAAACATGCCTCATGTATGGAAACACATTTTTCTACACATTAGTGGTTCTTATCTAACATTCGCACACATTCATACTCCAATGAATGCATTGGAGAACAACTTACCCAAGGACACTTAGGCATGCAGACTGAAGCAGCCAGGTATCGAACCACCTAACAACCTTAAACCCTCCATGCACATAAACACAGGTAGTGTTTGTAATTTGGTAGTCCTTGTTCTGAACTTGTTTTCCACCTGCAGCACATTCTGATTAAAGAAGCCCTCCAGTCTGCTGAAGAGCAGACAAACAATTACAGTCACAGCTAAAGTGCAGGTGGAATCTGAGCACGGTGGACTGTTGAATCAGAAACTCTTTGTAAAGCAGCCAAATGATATCATGGACTACCACAATGGAGACGTAAAGAGTGGAAAAGTGTTTAAGGAAAACATGAGAAAGGACACACTGGCTGGCAGGCAGCGACTCAGCTTTTGGGTATCGGTGAAGACCTGCTAACTGTTCATCGTCTCTAAAGTTTGATTAAATTCTGACAAACACTGACGGAGTACTGGTTCTTGTGAAGCGTGGGTGGATGACAGCTCATTTTATAAGCTCATCAGTCCTTAACATAGATGAGCTAAATATAAGTCAGCAAAGAGACTTGGGGAGGTGTTAAGCTACCCGAGCGGTCTCTGTATGATAAACCCAGACATGGTCAACGCCCAACTTCTTCTACTCACACACTGGTTGAACTCTACTTTGAAGCACACCACCATCTCACACTATTAATATAATTAAAGAAATGAAACTCTTTGTTTAAACCATTATTATTAGTTATAATCACAATTTCTACCGTCATGTTTCTAGAAAGCTTCACACTGAACTTTTTAAAAACTCATATTAAAACAGCAAATGAACTTCAGGTCTTTTTTGGTAGGCGCATTTGTGCATGAAATGTGTTTTTAACCATCATAAAATGAACTTTTGACATCTGCCAGGCTGAAATAACTTGTTAGCACTTCATTGTTTTAAAAACATTTTTAAAAATAAAGTTAGTAGATGGCTGTTTAAACAAAGGAGGCCTAATACACGACCTTTGGTCTTTTATTTAGTACATGTGTCATAATCTCCTGTTGCAATAGCGCAGACAAGAAACTCGCCGTCGCCACACAAATTTTATTCAGTTGCTGCCAGCAGACAAGTTCCCACATGCAGAAAATAAAATGAAGGAGTCAAGTATTCAACCCAATACTGAGTAACTGCCAGTGAAAAGTATTTGCCCCCTAAACCTAATGACTGGTTGTGCCATCATCAGCAGCAAGAACTGGATTTAAGTGTTTGTGATAACTCGCAACGAGTCTTTCACATCGCTGTTGAGGATATTGGCGCACTCTTATTGTTGCCACATTGGAGAGTACAAGAATAAACTTCCTGTTTATGGTCCTGCCAAAACATCTTAATCAGGTTTATGTCCGGACTTTGACCAGGCCACTGCAAAACATTTTTTTAATTTTTGAGCCAATAAGAGGAGGACTTGTTGGTGTGTTTCAGATCATAGTCCTCCTGCTTAACCCAAGTAACCCGGGGCACAAAATGATGGCTTGACATTCCAGGATTTTCTGGTCAGGAGCAGAATTCATGTTTCTATCAGTTACAACAAGTCATCCAGGGCCTGAAGCATCAAAGCAGACCATCACACTACATCATGTTTGTCTGCTGGAATGGTTAAAAAAATAATAATAAAATGCCATGTTCATTTTACTTCACATGTAACAGGATTCAAACCTTTACAAAGTTTGACTTTTGTCTCATCAGGCCACAGGATATTTTCTCTAAAGTCTTGGGGATCATCAAGATATATTTGATAAATAACAGACGAGCCTTTTTTGTTCATCTCCCGTGGATGCCACTTTTGCCCAGTCTCTTTCTTATTGTTAAATCGCTATGTTGGTGCACCACTGTTGCAAATTTACTCCACTTTCGGATAATGGCTGTCACTGTGGTTTGCTGGATTCCCAAAGCCTTAGAAATAGTTTTGTAACACTTTCCAGACACAGACTTTGTTTCGCGGTTGTTTCTTTAGAAACATCTTTAGGCAAGACGTGTTGCTTGTGATCATGATGCAATCTTTTAGCCTACTTTGCTTTATCAGAGGGGTTCAAGTAATTTTTTGATTCAGTAAGTGTGGCAATAATGAGGCAAAAATTTTGGGGGGTGTCATTTACTTTTCCACACAGGGTCAGGTAGGTTTGGATAGGTTTTTTCAGGTAATAAATGAAATCATCATTTAAAAATTCTTCCCATCCTCGCATAACATCAACATTTGTTCCAGTTGATTTGTTTGCTCCACCCGTTTGTGCTACATTTTGTTCTTTAAGAGCAGATTAGTGGCTCTATTTAATTGAGAAAATGTACTGATTAATCTAAAATGCATGGAAACACTGATCTAAATCTTTCTGCTGGTTTCTAGGCTGGCAGTCATTTTCGGTGGGTGGCAGTTTAGCCAGAAATGGTTTCTAAGTGGGTGGAAAGTACTTACGTCATCCTTCATGGGCTCTTTGGGGGGGTTGAACTCCTCGTGGTAGGAGCGGCCGCTCGGCTGATGAATTAGTCTGGGGAAACAGAGGGAAGATGGTGAGCGGAAGCAGAGCACAGGACAAGGACGTTAAAGAAATCAGAGCAAGAGCGAAGGAGGTTTGACAACCACGGTGACTCATTAACTACTTAAGTGTCCTTTTTTCCATCCCACATGATGCCCTTGTCCTACTTGGGCTTGAAAAGGCAGCAGTCTCTTCAAAAAGGTCCCCCACAGAGAGAAAGATGCCTCTCTGTAAACTAGATATGCTTTCTACTCAGCGTGACGTGTGAATAATTTGGAGTGGGTATAGTGAAGAAAGAGGACACCAATGAATAATTCCACACAGAGACTTTCGAAAATTTTGACAAATGTTCAGATGAATGTCTGTGAAGAGACGTCTGCGTGTTCAGTGTGTGGGTCAGCTTCGATTCAGGGCTCAGAGTCTCATACTGAGTGTTCTGAGACTTGTTTGTAGATCATTAGACATATTAATGTACTGCATAAGAACAAAAGTAAAAGGGAAAGAAACACACCACAGAAAACAAGAAGTAACAATTATAACTTATTGTCCAGTTCTCTCTCATTTCAACATGTACAGCTTATGCAAACATTAGGTCAGACCAGAAAGTAACACATTTCTGTTTCAGTTCACCAGTGCTGACTTTCTCAACAAAAGCTGAATGCAAATCTTGTAACAGTATGTAATAGCAATGTAATAGGGATAGAACGAGGAATGAATAATGATGAATCAGAATTCAGAATAACTGATGCATTGTTTTGAAATGTACCAGAATAAACTCCATTACTCTCATGCATTTCCAGTTTACTTTGAACCTCAGTGACTTTCACATCTAAGTTATACAGCAACACCACAGGAGTTACGTGTAACTGCAAACCCCTGTGGTGTTGGCGACATACATAGGTAACACGCCACCAAAGTTCACTGCAGATGTCTCAATCAGACATTGCAGCTTTCAGCAGACTAGCATTCTGGATATAGCTAACTGACAAACCCATGAGTACATGGCTGATTACCAAATTACTACATAATCCACATTAAAGATGTTACTTTAGTAAACTTTCATTTATAGTTACAGAAATACAAAAGGTCAAATTAACAGCACATTAATATGAACATCACAAAGTGCTTCACAAAAAAAATGATAAAATAAAATGTTACCACTATGAATATAATTTGTTCTACTGATATTCAGTTCCTAAACCATGTGCGAACACTTACTGGAGCTGATATACTGAATATGGATGCCCTACTACACATTCAGCAGATGCAGACTGGCATTTTGAATGACGTGGCTACTCGGTGAATGCAAGCATTAAAATCCATTCTTTTGTTAGCTTCTTCCTATGATTACAATATCTGCCTCTTCAGCTGCAAAATGCTGTGTGTTCATCACCTAGTTGCCAACTAGGGCTGTGTGATATGACCAAAATCTCATATCCCGATATTAAGACATCTATCATCCGATAACGATATAAATTACAAAAATGTAACATTTTCTGTAAATTCTGTGAATCTCGAGCAGCTCGTCTTGCGTGAAGTGTTTCCAGCTGCGCGTCGTGTACCTGGAGTCGAGTGTTTTAACCGATGCATGAAACGATACATTTTTAGACATACGTTTCTTTGCGAGTGTTTATTACACGGCGTGCTGCGGGGAAAAGCTTGTTCTAACGTTTGAGTCTAAGGTTTATTTTTTAGCACCTGGCGAATCTTTTTTGCTTCTCATCCGTAAATAATCTGCATCTTTCACATGATTCAGTTTATTTTGAAAAGTCTCAACAGGATCTTGAGCTTTATTATGAAAGGTTTATGTGGAACATAAACAAGTGGACACGCGATTGTGTTACCGTCGTTGTTGCTAACGACAAGGCATAAAAACAAGCGCTTGTCCGTCCGTAGTGTGGTTATATTAAATATAAGAGAAAGAGAGAACTTTAAGAAATTAATATAGCCACTACAGTGACCATCAAAACGATGAAAAAATATTGCCGTAATCAGTTTATTTTGCGACACCACGAAACAACAATAGAGTAAAATGAAACAATAGACGCTTTTATATCGTCATTCGATATATATCGTTATATCGAACAGCCCTATTGCCAACCTTGTTTTCTGTTTAGACACAGGCTTATTAGCGGTTAGGGGATCAACAAAATCAAGAGACTACTCTGTGGGCTCATCACCTGGTAAATAGTAGCT